GTCTTTAAGTGAGAAACGTACAGAGGCTTGGAAAAGGGGGAATGCGGTAGAGCTCCAATTCTTTTTGCTCTTGGACTCCTAATCCGTGGGGACCACCAGAAGGCTTTAGTCATTGTTGGCTTTACAAAGGAGAAAACGTACAGAGAACGCGGGGGAATAAATAGTTTTTACCTTTAGCTTTTAGCGTGGTTTTTTAGCTTTGTTTCTTGCTTGGCTCTTTTGATGGCCTGGACCTCATTGGAATTACTTGAAGATTTTCTCATGAGGCGTGGCTAAGTTTGTCTAGTCAAGAACAACGGAGGATTTGGTTCTACTAAATTTGTGAGATCGAATTAATTTTTATTTATTTTCATTATTCACTGGTATTTGTCTATCTTCTGCTTTATGTTCATATGGTTGTTTTGTTATTCGATTATCCAGGGCCCGGATTCTAGATTAATTCAATAACCTGAAGCCAATTAGGGGAGTTAAATCCGTAATTGTTTAATTGTCCTAAACTGGTGGCAACTGGCATGATTGGGTTTGTGTCAGGGAGATAGACAGGCTAACTTAAAGAGACCCTCGTAGCGTGTTGATTGGTTAGAATTAGGCTCTTCTAATTATTCATGCAATTAGGGAATTGAACTTCTATGGTCGTACCTAGGGTTATTTCCTGATTAGAGAAATAGTCAACGGTCGTACCTTGGCTATCGACAAATTGAGGAAGAGTTGGTTGTTTATCGCGTGTATGACAACTATAACTAATTTATCAGATAGTAACTGGAATAATCCTTGCATCTGTGATCGAATTAAGTGAACCATCTCCGAAGTTGTCTCTTGGCTAGAGTTCATCCATTTTTATTGTTATTGTGATAATTAGTTATTTGAGTTGTAGTTACTTTATTTTATTTTAATTTATTCCAAGTAATTTAGTTACTCTCATTTTCAAAAACCCCCCATATCTGGAACTTGAGAAGAAATTAAATTATCCCCAGTCCCTGTGGATTCGACCCTGCTTACCGCTATATACAGAATTTGTATTTTATTTGAGCAGGTATTTATTATTGCACAGGCTCGACCCCTGTCAAGAACCTCTGATTATGGTGATTGACCTATATGTGCTCTAAACAAGCATATAATGAAATTGTAATATCCACTTGACCTTCTTATGATTTGTACAAGTATCCTCTTAACCCCCCTTATAACTTTGCATATATCCACATAATTTCAATATGGTTTTAGGCAAAGTGAATTCAATCCTTTAAGTAAATGCTCAATCACTATTCCACCAATCACTTTTATATGTGCCAGGTTTACTATCCAAATTCTATAAAGAATACAAAACGAACATAACTAATATACCAATAAACTAGAATGATGCACATAGATATATAACTTCGTTTCGATTGAGGATTTTGATGAAGGATATGGAATCCATGCAAATCGCTCTAGTAGTTTAGATTGCTCAATAGGGATTTGGGTTATAATCTATCAACTATTAAAATATATTTTAAATATTAGAATAATTGATAATTTATAAATTCAAATACCTCCCAAATGATGTAAACAACTAGAGGATTTTAAGATGATTTCAAATCTCTTGTCGATTTCCTCGATCCAAACGCAACCTAAGAAAACTGGGGAATAATTGTGACTTGAGATAAATCTTGGGGTTTGAACTCAAATTTAAATTTTTATGATTGTCCCAAAGCCCAATTAGCAGTAATAACTAAGTTTGAGAACCTAAAAGAACTTTTTAAGATTCAATTAGAAGTTCTGCGAAAGTTCAGGGGATCTTTGGGGTATTTATCTCTCTATGGGAAATAGTAGTAATTCGAGTAAGCTTTAATATATCTTCACCCACCAACTCATACCACTTTCACAATTGTCAAACAAAATTATGGTATAATCTGCCATGTGCTACATTTGAGACTCAAATTTCAAGGGGCGTTTCATCATTTTCAAGATCTATTATACTAATTTAAAACAAAGTTAGAATGTTCATCACGTCCAAATATTAAAATTGGGGGTGCAAATTGAAAACCGCTAATAATTTTTTAGAGGTGTACAGCAAAAAGTTTAGCTTCCAAATTAATAGGTGCATGGTGCCACTATTAACAATGAGAGTTTATGGTGAAAGTGTCACTATAAAATTTGGCCTTGTTGTGGCAGCAAGAAGTTATCACGAACGCTCTACAGTTCGTCGCTATAAGCGTCCAAGACGACACCTTCATCCCAGATAGCTAGTGGCTATCACTTCAGGTGCAAACTGAGAATTAATTACAATTTGGAGGGTGCAAACCGAAATTAGTCTCAAAAAATAATTGAGTACCCTTTTTCCTTCTTTTTTCCAGTTAATGCCAGCCAACCTCTGTGGGTGACAAATAATTGAGTACTTGTTTATTGCCAATTATCAAATTTCATCATATTAAATGGAATGCCAACTGCCAAGTACCAATTAGGTTCATTTTGTTGATAAGCTTGCCTAGAACAACGCATGTTTCTGGCACATTGGCAAAGTTAGAACTTAAAATAAGTGCCAGTGAAGAGAGGATCCGGTGCAATTGGAGTTTAGTACGATTCGATCCAGTTGTTATACTCTATATGTTACTTAATGTAAAATTATATTATATTATTATTATATTTGAAATAAAAGTAGTGTATATGAATAAAATATTTAACATAAAATAAAATATAAAACTTTGAACATGTACAATGACAGGAAAAAACTACACAAAATATAATTGTACCAAGTCTAAATGGATGCTTGAACACTTATTTGTTGCCAACTGTCAAATTTCATCATGTTCTAGGACTTTGAATAAATCTATTTGCAGGCTTGCTCAGCAAAGATTCTGCATTCTGTTTTATTTGGAAAAAAAGAAAGAAAAGATTCTGCATTCTGCATTCTTGATAGAGTTGTCAATCACAAATTAATTATGTCGACCCACTTAAATCCATCCACTAATAAGTGAACTTGCGTATGCAATGAATTTTGAATGAGTCTAAATGAATATCCAATTAAACTCATGTAATTAGTGGGTAATGAGTTAACTCGACTTACCCATTTATATTCGTATAAAATAATTATGCATTTAAACTCAATATTTAGTGGGTATTATAAGCACATAAATTTAAATTTTCTACCAATCTAATAATAATAAAATGACATTATTTTTTGTCAAACAACATGCAAAAATATTTTTAAAAAGTAAAATTTCGAGTGAATCATAAATGGGTAATCGTGTATGTCCATAATCATTTATTAAATGGGTGTAAATGAGTTGGCTCATTTTGATCCATTTATTAAATGAATATAAATGAGTTGACTCAATTATATCTATTATTTAATTATGACTTGTCCATTTCTTAATTATATCCATTTTGAGTCACTCATTTTAACATCTCTAATTTTAGCTGCAAGTTTAGATGGGATGGCAAAGTTCATGTTCACCGATACTATCAGAAGCACATCGTTATCATCTAAAAATAAAAAATTATATCCAAAAGTCAGTATAATAGTTCTCTTGGTTCAATTTCAATTTCTTAGTTTGTTCTTTCAGCTTTCTGTAAATCAATGAATTTGTACAAGCTTGATTATCGGCAACGTTTGTTGTAGAATACTTAAAATAGTGACAAACAATTATCCTAGATTTGAGTCCTTTTTTTTTCTTTTTTGCCCTTTCTTTGTTTTACTGAAACAAAATGCGGCACCAGGCGTGATGACAAATTGAAATAAAAAAGAAGTTCGGTTTTCTATGCAAGAATAAAAGTTGCTTAGATTGGTCTCCGATCTCAAAGTAAGGTAACCGGTCGAAATCTGACATTAAATTTTTGAGTAAATTACTGATAATGTTCCTGTGCTTTTATATAATATTGGGCAAATTACATTTTATCCCCCTATGATTTAGTATTTTTTTGTATATAATTCTCCTATAGTTTCAAAAGTTACACATACCCCTTTTATTGTTTGGATTAAAGTGTCAAAATAAAGGAAATGATCATTTGTAACGGAACTTTTGAAAATATCGAAATTACTACCCTTGTTTAAAAATTAAAATTGCTAAAGTGACCAAAATATATAAACATAATATATATGACGTACTAATCCCGTATGGTTTTATATTTTATTATATAACCCCCTTATGATTTAATATTTTACCATATAATCCCTTTATAATCTTCAAAATATACACATAACCCTCTGTCGTTAATAAATAATTTTTGACTTTACATAGGAGTATTTTTGATGTTTTAGGTGACTCTGTTTTGGATTTAATCCAAATCATAAGGAAGTTATGTATAGTTTTTGAAACCATAGAGGGGTTATGTACAAAAATACTAAACCGCATGAGGGTAAAATGTAATTTGTCCTATAATATCACATACCCGTTACGGTTTCAAAAAATATTCACATAATTCCTCTGTAATTTTATATAAAGCGAAAAATGAATGAAAAGCATCTCCAATTAGAGCAATTGACCGAGACACGCTTCAAAAGTGCATGTCATGAAATTATAATAACTACTTAGCATCCCTATAGTTTTGTATAAATATCCACTTACCCTCTTTGTGGTTGTATAAATATCCATTTAACCTCCTTGTGGTTTAACATTTATCCACACAATCTTTCTATGGTTTTATGTAAAGTAGTCAGAGTCAGACATTTATTAAATTTAGTGTTTAGGTAAAAATAATATTAGTATTTCAACTAATGACGTTATCTGAACTATTTTCCATGATATTTTTATTTAATATTTAATATAAAATATTAAGGGCATTATATGGATACTTTGAAGCCTTTAGGGGTCATATGGTATCATGCAAGAACACACAGGGTTATGACTGGTTAACCCTTCATTTTTGGTGGTAGCGAGTTGACGAAATTGGACATGCCTTGCCAGTTTTCAACTTTGATAACTACTTGAATCTTTTGGAAAAGTTTGAGGCATTTGACTAGTTGTATGCAAGACAACCAACCTAGTGCTCCGAGCAAAAGCAACAGCCTGAAGCTATTTTCAATGGATTCCCAGTTGAAACATGATCGAGCCAGGGAAATCAAAGAATTTCGTGAAACAAAAGCAGGGGTCAAAGGCCTAGTGGATTCCGGGATGGTAAGAATCCCAAGAATGTTCGTCCATGACGAAAAACTACTAGCTGAATATCCCACCAATAACAATCTCCTGGTGCCTCTGATTGATCTGAAAGATCTTCAATATGGTGATCATCAACGGAAAGAAATTGTTGATCAGATTCGTGGAGCATTGGAGACATGGGGATTTTTCCAATTGATCAATCATGGAATACCCATTAGTAAACTGGACAAGTTACTAGAATGTCAGAAACGGTTCCATGAACAGCCCGCAGAGGTGAAGAGCGAACTTTATTCTCATGATCCAAAGCAAAATGTGAGATTCTTCACCACTTCGTCTCTAGACGGCAATCAGCCAACCGACTGGCGTGATACGTTGTCATTCAGGTTTCCAGAAGATATATTGGACCCTCATGGTTTACCAACAATTTGCAGGTACTTCGGTTTTCTAATTTATATGATTAATTTTGTGAATATGCATTTTCCCCGTACACTTAGTTAGGTCTAGATCTATCATATTAAGACAGGAAAAAAAAATCCCAAGACCGTCATGAACTCTAAAGAAAATTCAACACAAGAGGTGTTTTTTTTTTTTTTTTTTTCAAGGCCAGGGCTGTCGTTTATGCAAGTTTTGAATGCGAGCTCTCGCTGAATGTGAGCTCCAATGAAAAAGAGTACATGTTTGCAAGATGGGACGATCCTTTGGTCCACAACATGAAAACACTCCTTCTTTGAGTTTCATCGTAATCTTAAGAATTTCTCCTTACTCAGGGTCTAAAAGATGTAGATCTAATTAAAGACTTAAAATTAATAAAATTAATAACTTTTTTTTGTTTCAATTTTTTGGTTATTTTGTGGCAGAGAAGCTGTTGTTAGCTATATGGAATGTTTATTGAAGCTAGAGGACACTCTCTCTGGTCTATTTTCTGAGGCTCTTGGCCTCAACAGAGACTATCTTTCAAGAAATGGGTGGTTGAAAGGTGGACAGTTTGCTTGTCACTATTACCCAACTTGCCCAGAGCCACACTTAACTCTTGGCGCTAGGCAGCATTCAGACCCGTCATTTCTCACAATACTCCAGCAGGACAACGTTGGTGGCCTCCAACTTCTTCATCAGAACCATTGGGTGGACGTGCCTCCGACCAAAGGAGCTTTGGTTGTAAATGTTGGAGACTTCGTGCAGGTGCAATTTCATTAATTTTAGCTAGTTTATCATAAAGAACTTAGACTGTGTCTGCCAGAGTCAACCACTGGGCCAATGGCTCAGTGGGCACCAGGGAGGGGTTTAAGTCCCTCTTTGGATTGTAGGTGAGGGTTCAAATCTCACCTGCACCGAAAAAAATCTAAGGGTTGTGCTCGAGCACTCCCTTAGTATAATTGGGCATGTATACTCACTAGCCCCTTACCACAGTCTCCTTAGGCTCTCCCTCCCCCTAGATTAGGATAGAGTAGGTTATACTATACAAATGTATCGTTGTTGACAAAAAAAAAAAAGTGTCTGCCAGAGTCAGCATTTGATTCCTTTTTTTAGGGCAAATTACACTTTGCCCCCTATAATTTAGCATTTTTTTACATAACCCCCTTATGGTTTCAAAAGCTATACATAACTCTCTCATAATTTGGATTAAAATGTCAAAGTGTCGGAAATGATTATTCGCAACGGAGTAACCTAAAATATCAAAAATACCCTTATGTAAGTTGAAAATTATTTATTAACCAAGGGGGGTTATGTGTATATTTTGAAAATCAAAATGGGTTATATGGTAAAGTATTAAACATTAAGGGAGTTATATGGTAAAACATAAAAATCATACGAGATTAGTGTGCCATGTATTTATAAGGGCAATTTCGATATTTTCAAAAGTTTCGTTACGAATGACTATTTTCATCACTTTGACATTTCAATCCAAACCATGAAAGAGTTATGTATAGCTTTTGAAACCATAAGGGGGTTATATAAAAAAAATACTAAATCATAGGGGATAAAGTGTAATTTACCCTTTTTTAAGGGAAAAAATGCAGTTTATGCTTCTGGAATTGTGCTGGAATTTGAGATTTGTCTCTAAAAACTTATTTTTGCATTAGTGAACCCGTTGGATTATGCCTGCATCGACCCAAAAACAAAAAAGAAAGAAAAGAAAGAGGGTTTTTAGAAAAGAAATGTCTGACCCAAAATTATTTAATCTAATGGAAAAGTTATGGGGTAAATTAATGCAACTAATAATTCAAGAGGTAAATATAGTTCAAGGGAGCTACCAGTCATTTTGGTTTGGCCTTTTTAAGTCAAACAGTTTTACCATGAATTCAGTTTGACGTCTGCTAGTACTTTCATCTTTCGTGTCATTCTTGACTAGCATTTAGCAATGACAACCGACCGGGTGATTTTGGTTTTAAAAAAAAGAAAAGAAAGCAAAGAATTAAACCTGAAGAGTTCAAAAGAAAGTTGGTGAAACTTTTAGGGCTTGCAGACTTCTTCTTCGTCATTATTTTTTTAATGGGATACAGACCTTTTTGTTTCCAACAAAAAGGGCTTGCAGATTTGTGTTCTTAGGAAATTTGTTTTTCACTTTCACCAATTTTGGCAGCTGATTAGCAATGACAAGTTCAAGAGCGTGAAGCACAGAGTACTAGCTAAATCAGATGTCCCGCGACTATCAGCTGGCTGTTTCTTTAATCGGAGTTCGAAACCCATTGGACCGTTGAAGGAGCTTCTATCCGACACAAACCCTCCAATATATCGGGAAATTCATCTTTCTGAGTATTATACAGTTTACACCTCAAAATGGACGCATGGTACGAGGCTTATAGATCGTTTTAGGTTATGAATTATGAGGACGACAAAGGTCATTGGTTGTTAAACAATTGCAAATGCAAATGCAAATTGGTACTTTTTGTGATTTATAAGCTGAACTAATGACATCATGTAAAAGTATCTACACTTAGTTACTGTGATAATTGCATATCGATTTATTTGGGTTGCAATAAATTTCGAGTGATGTAAATAAGTTAGGGTTGGTACACTTGCCTAAGGCTAAGGGGCACAAAATTGAGAGGGAAATGTCAAGTGTTAAATTTTTCGGAAAAGTTTTGTTACAGTAAAAAAATTGTATACGTGTAAGAGGTAATAAATGTCATGGTATACGTTTGAATGATAAATTAGGTACAACTTAATTTAATTTGAAATATTGTTTAAATCCAAGATGATTGAGAAATGATTTTGGAGTATAAAAAGTTAAACTTTTTTTTATTAAAAAATAGATTTCATTAACCAATTGCTGAAAATCATTCAGTACGATTGGATTTATATCACTGTCCTAATGGCAAGCTAAACATGCACTAAAAATTATAAATTTGTAATTTAGCAGATAAGATAAATATGAAAATTATAAGAAATTTTGAAATTGTTTTCACTCTACCTCCCCTTCCGTGCATGTTGCAATAGCCAAATCTGTTAATAAAAGGTTTTAAACTCCAAGAATGATGATGAAATCAATCAAAATAAAAGATTTTGAATTTCAACCGCAAGAGTAGGGATATTTTGGGATTGTAAAATTGTTTTAAATGTAGTTATAACGTTTAGTACTACTTAAGATAGCATGTGCATATTCTTGTGTATATCGAAATATCCTTCTCTTAAAAACGGGTTGTTGTTTGATTGTTGGATAATTTTCATCTAACCTTTTTGAGGAGCAAGTTAGGCAATGCAGCATGAGTGTACAAATCATTAACGATATAGTACTAGCATTGAATGTGCATTGGTGTGCATTACCCACTCTATCCTTAGTGGGTTGATACTTACACTACTGATGTGTAGCTATTCAGCTATTGTTTCAGTTTTGCACTTCTAAATAACTGTTACTATTGATTTGTAATTGCTACAAATCTTCATGCAAGTCATTGAGTTTCTGCAAAGAGATCCAAGGGTTACATTGAATAATTGGAGCATGATTACGCGCACATGAACGCATTGAGAAGAACATTAACTCAATCCTTTATAGTAGAAGTGTAACAGTTGGCTTTTTCTCTTCTAAATTTTTCACAAAAATGAATTCAGCAAATGTAAAAAGTTGGATCATTAGAGTGAGCAATTATGGCTTCTTTAATACAATAGTAATGATTGGAAGATGAGGGACCTGTTGGAAAGCATGTTTGAATGGAAACTGAAAGTTTTTGGCTTTTCTAAAGCATTTGTTGAGCAGTTTTTTTTAGCAACCTGCGATAATGAAGGACGTTAACACAATAAGGTTGCATGAGTTGCTTAAGCTCTATATCACCATGGTGGTCCCCGAAGAGATAACGTTTTTTACATTGTGTTTTTCAGGTAGATACTATCTATGTGTATATTGAATTTTTGAATGAAACAATAACAATATTGTGTAGTTTAAAAGTGGTAATTATATTTGTAACTGCATTCTTGAATTTTCGTGTTTGCCCGCAACTGAGGTACAACTGTCAAACAAGGGATTTGTCTAGCAGTAGCTTTCTGATTAAGGTACTTCCTAAAACAATTGTTCCAATTAATGAATGCATTATTGGTGTTCATGCGTCGCTGTACTAGAATTACAATTCTGTTTTCCGCAATTGTGTTATCCATCTGATTTCGACAATTTAGACTTGCTAATTAGACTTATATTGTCCTTTTCAATTTATCTGCAAGCCTATATGTCAGTTAAATTGCAATAGTCATGGTAGGGGAAACATAAATAGGCACTAATTAACAAAAGTAGACCAAGCATTCCTAAATTTCTAAGCATATGATAGTTTTATGGCTAGGGACTCCTATTTGTTGATTACTTCAGGAGAAACAATTTACAATCTGAAATAGTACAATTTTAGAATAAAGGATTTACAATCAGTTGATTGATTGTCTTTCTAATCATTACAATTGCAAGGACTAAAGTGATTCATTTTTTATATACATATATATATATATATATAAATGTTTTCACAATAAATTTAGAAAAAATTCCTACTGACATGTGATTATGTGATTAAATGACCATTTAGTTATTTTTACATTTCTCCACTTAAACAAATTAGTGTATTTGATTCTATTTGTGCATTTAAAAATCACTATACTTTCTCGTTTGCTTACCAATATTGATAGTATTTTTTACTTTTTTAATCTCATGATGCTTAGCAAATTATAACACAGGTATTCACTCCTGTGCATTGTGCAGCCTTCTCCCCTAGCATTTTCAAGAAAATCAAAACAAACAAGAAGAGATATAGTACGCCTAGAAAAGAGCAAAACCTCTATATTGGGCTTGATATGTTGGCTGTTTAACCTTAATTAAGTTTCAATTTCGTCAAATGACACTTAAACGGCTTAAAATAGGGATGGCAGGCACGATTGGGGCCGGCGGGGGAGGTAGGGGCATTTTTCTCCCCAGTTAAAAAACGAGACGGAGGGCAGGGAGTATATCCCCACTCCATCCCCCACCAGCCACCCATTGAAAAAATTAAATATATATAATTATATATATAATATTTAATTTAATTAGTTATAAACTTGTAATAATGATGTTATTAGTTATAAATATTATATAATATATATTAGTATGTATAATATAATTAATATTATTAATTATATTAATAATTATACATGTATACTTATAGAAATTATTAATTAATTATGTTAAATTTACTAATATATTTATACTAAATTTTTAATTACACTAAGCACAATACATTAATACATTTATATTTAACACGAAATATTTATTAATACATTTATACGTCTACACTTAACACTTTTATTAGCCCTTGTAGGTACTCCACGGGGCGCCCCGGGGAAGGGGGGAGAAACTGGCGGGCAGCAAGCCGTTGCCATTCCTAGCTTAAACTGGCTTTAGTTAGCATTGAACATCTTATGATCTGAGGGACCACCCTCAAAAAAAAAAAAAAATCTTAGGGACCAAATTTCTTTTCAGTAAAACTCTATGGACCATTCGCCATATTGCTCAAATTTGAGGGACCAAAATTACAATACTTCCTTGAAAATATGTTTAATTAAAGAATTAGCATTACTGCACGTGCAATAATGACAAAGGGAAGAATTTAATGAGTACAAGGAAATAAAATTAATTTGAGCCCAAAACTTTGCAAAAGCGCAAAAAGAGAAACAAGAAAAGGATGTAAAGGAGAATCTTCTTCTTGTGGTATTCAAATGATTCTTCTTGACCTCAAACTAACTGATGGAACACATCATCTTCCAATATAGCTCTAATCAATTCCGTTCCAGAAAAATTACAAGCACAAAAAAAGAGATATTGTACTATAAGTGATAAGAGATGAAGGGGTGGCAGAATAGCAGGAAGCCCAAGGCAGTTGTGGTGGGAGGAAGCATAGCAGGAATATCTTGTGCACATGCTCTGATTGAAGCAGGATGGGATGTGGTGGTGCTGGAGAAAAGTTGTGCACCCCCAAGTGGCAGTCCAACTGGTGCTGGACTCGGACTTGACCCTTTGGCTCAGAAAATCATTCAGACTTGGCTGAGGAACCCTCAGCTTCTCCACAACTCCACTTTGCCCCTCACTATTGATCAAGTATGTTTAACAAACGCCCTTTTGTAATTTTATGTTGAAGAGTTATTTTCCTGTTTGCTCCTGTTGATTGTGAGTCTTAAATGATTTGAATTTTGAAAGAACGGACTGGTTCATTCTTGAATTTAATTACTGCTATTGGATCATATTAACTTCTAAGATGTTGTTGATTGGCTGTTTTAAGGAAATTCCTTAGATGCTAATCTGAGTTTCAGCAAGGACTTATTTTGTTGTTGAATGCGGGAACAGTCTTGCAGAGATTGTTAAGTACTTCCTTTCTGTCCTTTTTTGGAAAAGGGTTGTGTAGAAGCGGAGAACTTTCAGTTGGCTTGGTTTGTCAGTCATTATAGTGTAGACTACCATACAGCAATACTTGTAAATATCATGTTAAGGAGTAAACTGGACTACACAAATCTTCCAATTTTATTTTTAAAATGCAAGTTTTTTTAGTAGCAAAAAGGAACTGATTATGATGTGGGGGAATATTCTTGTTGATATGGGACTCAGAAGATGGATTCCAAGTCTTTCAACTTCAAGTTACCAATGAAGCTAGCTTTACTGCAATTTAGAATGTTATATAAGCTGGGAATAGTCATCTCTGAGCTTTGCATTTCGAGTGCATTTGATCGCAACAGATGCATTGTTCAATTTTCTTGCCTACCCTGCAAAGACTCTGGTCAAAAGATGATAGGCATTTCTTCAGCACAAAAGCATTCGTCTCTAGTAAACCAAACCATATCATACCGCTATTGTAGGGTTGCATTTGTTGCAAAATCTGTTACTAATTTGCCTGTGTATGATATAAACTAGATAGACTGCTTTAACTAGCATAATAGCATCACTTGCACCATCAGTTAAAAAATGTGGTTCATGATTTTCATTTTTTATGGGAAGGATGATGCTGTATTTGCCATCCCTGTATTATAGGTAACCATTCTGCCAATTTAAGTTTCAGAAAGATATCTTATATGTAAACTACGGGCTCGTTTAATTCATCATTTCAGTTAAAATTGACTTGCTCCATTTCTGTCTTTGTAGAACCAAGCAACTGATGGAGAAAAGAAAATCAGCTGGACTTTGACAAGGGATGAAAACTTCAATTTTAGAGCAGCATACTGGACTGATCTATATAGCCTTTTACACAATGCACTACAATCTGATACTGTTTTGTGGGGGCACTATTTCCTTTCATTTTGCATCTCTGATGACAAAACTAGCGTCACAGTTAAATGTAAAGTTCTTGAAACCGGTGACACAATTGACATAGTAGGTGATCTACTTATTGCTGCTGATGGCTGTCTTTCCAGCATTCGAAAGAGCTTCCTTCCTGATCTTAAGCTGAGGTCTGTAAATAGTAATGTCAGAAATTTTTATCTTTTTTTTTTTTTGCCTTAAATTTCCTGTAAGTGATACTTTTTACATTGTTATCTTGTTCATAGATATTCAGGTTACACTGTGACAGGTGCCGAACCTGTGCAATAATAAATACCTACTCGAGAAAAATACAGATTTTGTATATAGCGGTGAGTAGGGTCGAATCCACAGGGACTGGGGATAATTCGTTTCTTCTAGAGTTCAAAGTATGGGGGGATTTTTGGATTAAATGCTAACTAAATAAATTAAATGCAGAAAATAAATAAAAGAAATAATTATTGGAGAAACTTTAGTCAAGGGTACACTTCAGAAATGGTTCATGCACTGATCATTGATTCACAGATAATTCCACATTTATTAATAGACCAGTTATAGTTGTCATGCACGCGATAAACAACCAACCTTTCCTTAATTTCCCGATAGTTAAGGTACGACCGTTAACTATTTCTCTAACCCAAAAACAACCCTAGGTACGACCGTAGGATTTAATTTCTAGATTGCATTAATAATTAGAAAGGCCCAATCCTAACTAACAAACACGCTACGAGGGTTTGTTTAAATTAGATCGTATGCTCCCCTGACATAAACCCAATTACGCCAGTTGCTACTGAGATAAAGATAACGAACAATTACGGATTCAATTATCCCTATTTAGCAAAATAGCCTATGTGAATAATTAAATATTGCGCATCTATTCAATCACTCACATGAGCTATAGCAATTAAAAGCAGGAAACATATAAATACCAATAAATTAAGGAAACAATTAAAATAAATTAGATCTCACAGTAATTGTTGAACCAAATCTTCAGTTGTCCCCTTGACTAGAATTGAGAGGTTAGTCCTCCATTAATGGAGAACAACCATGCGGAAGAATAAAAACTAAACTATGCTAAAAAAAGGTCCCCCGTAGCCTTTCTTACGATTGTCCTTATATAGCCAAAGGAAATGACTAAAGCTATCTATCCAGTGGTCCCCACGAATAAAGAACAAAAACAACTCTCAAAACTCCCTACGTTTCTTTCCTTCCAAAGCTGAAAATGACTCAATGCTTTCCCGTGGTTCCCGCCGCAGATTCCAAATCAAAGTACAAAAGGCAATGCCTCTTGATGTTTCCTCCTCTTTTTCGTCTTTCATTGCTCTTAGGACTCTTAAGTACTCAAGACACTCCCAATTAGCAAAAGAAATGCAGTCCACGTATATTACCATGTGGGCCAAGTCTGTGGCTTATTTGAAGTCTCAATAATGTCCAAAAAGTCCCTCATTTTTGTAGTTTTCTGCTCCATTCCTGAAATGAGATTCAAATACCAAATATAAATATATATTTAACAATTAAGCAATATTTGGCAAGGATAAAAAGGGAAATTAATAATAAAATAACCAACAATTAACACCCTATCAATTCCCCCCACACCTAAATCATGCTTGCCCTCAAGCATGGAGACGACAAATAACACCAAAATTTGACAATGGTTATTGTTCCAACTACCGTATTGCCAAGGTACCCAGAAAAACATATATCAAGTATCACAGTTAAGATCCAAGAAAAACCACTCCGGTTAGCTTCTCAACCACCAACGCCTCCAATTTAAAGCAAACTAATCTAAGAAAAAGGAATGGTGGCTTACATTTATCAGTAAATGGTCCATCTATTAACCAAAATCTCGACATTAAGATCACAAATAGGCAAGCTGGCTTTTTTTTTTTTTTTTTAAATACTAACACAAACTTTACTTGTTTTTTTTTTTTTTTTGGGAATAGCAAAAGACTTAGTCTCTAGCCATTTAGAGTCTTTTGACGCGAACTCCAACATTTGTTAGATGGAGGAGCCCGGTTACTCTGCTCCAATCGCTACAGAACCACGCACTCATAGCAACTACTACCTTTTGACGCGAGAATCGATACTTTAGGTGAAGATCCCCGGTTACTCAGTAGTAACCACTAGCGGAGTACAGTCAACTCTTATTTACAACCATATAACACGATATCTAAAAGCAACACAAGATTAACAGTAGCCAGCCTCAAATTTCCAGACATGGAGAACTAAAATTAATAATTAGACCAATTCACACGAAAAATGCCAACAATCATTCCCTATGCCTAGAAAAGTTAACCAAAAATAGGAAAAGTTAAGCAATCATTGATATTCACCAACGAGATATTCCTGAACTCAGCCACATCAACTTGATACCCTTTTATTAATAAAACTGGGCAATAGCAGAATTAGAGACAACAATCCGGTATCAAAACTTGGTATTCATTTAAGGACTGACCACTAGAAAAAGAAAAGAAAATTAAATAAACGAAAAAGGAGATAAATATCAAACTAAAACAAAGGAAAAACCTCTAGAACCTAAAAACTAAAAATACTAGCACCCAAAACTGACCCCCCCACACCTAAATCACACATTGCCCTCAATGTGATAAACTAACAGCAAAAGGAAGGAGAAGGGCAACGGTACTTCCCTGAAATCGTCAAAACAGGGGCGGGTCGGGCGGAGTGCTGCCAAATTCTGCGCCATGTTATGCAAGTCGATATCAATGTGGGTCACTCGAGTCTCCAGTCTCTCAACTGTCATCGAAAGTTGGAGCCAGTCGTCGGCCCCTGGGGGAGGATCGTGGCTTCACCATGGTAACTAGCAGGCAACCCAAACAATAAAATGCACAAGGCAGGCTCCTAAAATCTATACGAATACCCCAATACTTATAGCAAATGCAATTGACGAGCACTTGTGGTCCTAATTCAGTCAGATATAGAAACAAAGTAGTCCAAATGTGCAACAACTGCTCCAAAGACTTGAGTGATTAAAATTGATGGGCAGATTACCCCAAGCAAGTCAATTAGATGCAACAAAATGAGCAATAGGCAATGGAAGTGTCACAGTAGCTTCCCAAATCAACAATCAACCGCAGAAAGTAGCTACCCACACTATCAGAACACAGCTCCCAACAATGCAACAAAAGAATCAATAATCACAGGATGCCCCACTATTGTAAGAACCAGCAAATGCAATTCAATAAGCAATGATATCCGCAAATGCAGACAAATACCAAACCTTTCCCCACAAAATCTCAGTAAATGCCTCCCAGAACCTCTTAAAACAGCCACAAGAACCTCTTAAAAATCGCAACCGATGGTGCACAGAAGCAGCAACTAAATGCCCAACCCAAAATCGCAACAAACGCCCAACAAAAGCAGCAAACCCCCAAAATCAACTCCCAATAATTTCCAAATAAGAATAGCTATCAGAGGGTCTAGAAAATATCAATCTCAAGGGCTAAAAGAAGTCCCAAACTAATGAATTGGGATAGTAACTATGGCCATGAAATCAGCAATCAATGCACTAAGTATTAAAATTGCTGGATTAAATAAATGCACAACTTTGCCAACTACCATTCATCAGAGGCCCGAATAATTTAGCAACTTAAATCAACAGTCATAGGGCATCAAGAATTCAGCAAATTAATTTAGCAGGGACCGAAAACCAAAGTTCAACATTGAACCCAAAGTCTGTGCCCAATTCAATCTAGAAATCTATTCCAGAAATAGTACTCCAAATATAAGTAATTTATCTTAGAAAGTTGGCCAATAAATTGGGAAAAACAAGTACCTCCGCCTCATACCAGAGACACCAAGTAGATGGCCATGGGTGGTGGAGCAGTGGAGCAGCGGAGGAGCTGTTGGCCGTGAGCTGGTGACGAGGTGGAGAGAGAGCAGAGGGAGGTTGCGGCGGTTGGCAGGAAGAGGCGGTGGGCGAAACTTCGTGCGCGGGAGCAGCGCGCGATGGTGGCTCTGGTCGGGGACGAAGCTGGAGGAGAACTGATGGTGGTGCGAGGTGGTGGCCGCGGCTGTGGAGCGTGGGCGGAGAGGAGCTGGACGAGTGCCGCTGCAGGAGAGGAAGAAGGAGCGCTGGCGGTGGTCAAAGGCGCTGGTGAGTGGAGGTGGCAGGTGGAGCTTGAAAGGGAGAGTGAGGGGAACGGCGGGCAGCTCCGCGGCTGCTGGTGGCGTCGCGAAGGGAGAGCAGGGGAGGCGGCGAACGCCTCTGGTGTAGCTCGAGCTCGCGCGCTGGTGGAGAGCTGGTACTGGAGCAGGCCGTGGGTGAAGCTTGGAGGCGGCGGCTAGGTGTGGCTGGGCAGAGCTGGTGGCGTGGGCTTGCGGCGGCGGACAAACGAAAGAAGAGAAGGAAAAGTGGAAAACAGGGGAATAGCGGAGAAGAAGAAGAAAAGGAAAGGAAAGAAAGAAAAGAAAGAAAGAAAAGAAGAAGAAAGAAAAAGAAAAGAAAAATAACAGCTTTTGGTCTATTTTTGTTTCTCTTTTTTTTCTTTTTTTTTCGAATTGAAATTTCAAAAAAAACGAATTGCTGAAAGAAACTAAACTGAAAGTGAAGAAGAAGAAATAATTTTTTATATTTATTATTTTTTAAAAAAATTTTTTTTTGTTTTTGTTTTTTTTTTAAATTTTCAAATTTTGAATTTTTGAAGGAAACACAGAACTGAAAAAGGAAAATAAATTTTCTTTATTTTATTTTATTTTATTTTTTTTTCATGTTTTGGGTCGTCAAACACCGCGTGGGCACGCCAAGATTAGTAAACGTCCACTGACCTCAAGAGACCCAAACACCGCGTGGGCACGCCAAGATTGACAAACATCCTCTGACCTCAGGAGATACAAACACCACGTGGGCACGCCAAGATTACCTATTCTGGTCATAGTGAGGAAACATCAAGAGTGATTAGTACCCAAGTGAGAAACGACATATTTAAGAAATTGAACACAAAAATAACAAAATCAACAATTGGGTTGCCTCCCAAAAAGCGCCTTTCTTTAATGTCTTTGGCTAGACATGCTATGCTTGTTCACGGAGGATAAAATCTTGTGGCTCGCTTCAATGCTTCATCTTCAATATGATCCTGGTAACCCTCATAGATGGAGTAATCTTTGAGCACACGAGTTACGGGCTTCCATGGACTAGTAAATGGCGCTAAACAAGTCAACAATGATCTGTATTCTCCACTCACTCCTCCACCACACGCATTCATCGGTTCAAGATATTTTTCCATCTCCACTCTTAACTTATTCCTGTCATGAAATATTAAATTTTCTGGTATAATAAAATCAATTTCAGTAACAGGAGTTGAAGAATAGGAGTCAGGAAAATATTGATTAAGGAGTGGAGAAGATGTCACCGCATTTGGAGATTGTTCACTGGAATCGTTCACTTGAATGAGTTGATCCTGGAGTCTCATTTCTTGCACTTCAGCTTCCTTTTCAACTGCATCTTTAAATCCGTTTTCTTGAAACTCTTGCAGTTCCATGTCATTTGGCCGGACAATTGCACTCTCATCTTCCTCAAGATTGATATTGGTTTGTGAGGGCAATTCTTCAAGGTGAGCCTCTAATCGCTCTATCCTGGCTGTCAATTGACGCAGTTGATCCGCCAGGTCGCGACAGCTCGCTTGTGTCTTCTGATGATATCGATTTAGGCTCGCTTGTGTCTCCTGATGAAATCGATTTGAATTAGCAATTAGTAAACCTATCATTTTTTCAAGAGACATACCTGACACGGAGGATGATTGCTGAGACTCTTGCTGTTGAAAATCCATTGGCCCCGTCGCATAGTCAAAATTGGAATTATCCCACCATTCTTGATCATACCCGTTTGAATAAGGGTCATACTGCGTTTGATATTGGGGTGAAAAATCTCCAAAAGTATCAAGTTGAGCGCTTAGATTATCTTGAAATGCGGGGCATGTGTTAGTTGAATAACCGGAATCAAAATAAGTTCCACAATTTGCAACAGCCCATTGATCATTAGGAAAAACATGAGTCTCATAACCCCATTCAGGAACAAAGTCCAGTCTATCATCAAAATACGGAATGTTAGCAGCCATAAACTATATAAAAAAAAAAGGGAAAAAAAATAAATTAAAAATGAAAACAAGGTGAACTCGAAAAGAAACAAATTAATCTGACACCAGTCCCCGGCAACGGCGCCAAAAATTGATAGGTGCCGAACCTGTGCAATAATAAATACCTACTCGAGAAAAATACAGATTTTGTATATAGCGGTGAGTAGGGTCGAATCCACAGGAACTGGGGATAATTCGTTTCTTCTAGAGTTCAAAGTATGGGGGGATTTTTGGATTAAATGCTAACTAAATAAATTAAATGCAGAAAATAAATAAAAGAAATAATTATTGGAGAAACTTTAGCCAAGGGTACACTTCAGAAATGGTTCATGCACTGATCATTGATTCACAGATAATTCCACATTTATTAATAGACCAGTTATAGTTGTCATGCACGCGATAAACAACCAACCTTTCCTTAATTTCCCGATAGTTAAGGTACGACCGTTAACTATTTCTCTAACCCAAAAACAACCCTAGGTACGACCGTAGGATTTAATTTCTAAATTGCATTAATAATTAGAAAGGCCCAATCCTAACTAACAAACACGCTACGAGGGTTTGTTTAAGTTAGATCGTATGCTCCCCTGACATAAACCCAATTACGCCAGTTGCTACTGAGATAAAGATAACGAACAATTACGGATTCAATTATCCCTATTTAGCAAAATAGCCTATGTGAATAATTAAATATTGCGCATCTATTCAATCACTCACATGAGCTATAGCAATTAAAAGCAGGAAACATATAAATACCAATAAATTAAGGAAACAATTAAAATAAATTAGATCTCACAGTAATTGTTGAACCAAATCTTCAGTTGTCCCCTTGACTAGAATTGAGAGGTTAGTCCTCCATTAATGGAGAACAACCATGCGGAAGAATAAAAACTAAACTATGCTAAAAAAAGGTCCCCCGTAGCCTTTCTTACGATTGTCCTTATATAGCCAAAGGAAATGACTAAAGCTATCTATCCAGTGGTCCCCACGAATAAAGAACAAAAACAACTCTCAAAACTCCCTACGTTTCTTTCCTTCCAAAGCTGAAAATGACTCAATGCTTTCCCGTGGTCCTCGCCGCAGATTCCAAATCAAAGTACAAAAGGCAATGCCTCTTGATGTTTCCTCCTCTTTTTCGTCTTTCATTGCTCTTAGGACTCTTAAGTACTCAAGACACTCCCAATTAGCAAAAGAAATGCAGTCCACGTATATCACCATGTGGGCCAAGTCTGTGGCTTATTTGAAGTCTCAATAATGTCCAAAAAGTCCCTCATTTTTGTAGTTTTCTGCTCCATTCCTGAAATGAGATTCAAATACCAAATATAAATATATATTTAACAATTAAGCAATATTTGGCAAGGATAAAAAGGGAAATTAATAATAAAATAACCAACAATTAACACCCTATCACACTGCATGGAGGGGTGTTCTTGATTTCTCAAATAACAAGCATGCAGAAGCTGTATTGGACCTCAAGAAAGCATACCCAGATTTAGGGAAATGCCTATACTTTGATTTGAGTTCGAGAACTCACAGTGTGATCTACGAACTATTGAACCAACGGATCAATTGGATTTGGTATATCAATCAACCTGAGCCAGAACTTAAGGTAATCTTTTTTTCTACCATTTTGTGATCAAAAGAGGTTTGTTTCAGCATGGTTTCGTGTTTCTTCTAGGCTGATGGTTTGCCTTGTTAGCTATGATAGGGTTATGCGAATATTGTCCTTCTGATTCTTCTGCTTCCTCACTTATTGGCTCAAGGGCCAAGGAATGACTTCTCTATCATTATCCAAATTTTTTAAAATATGCTTAACAGAATAAATTGCAACTGTGTGATCAGAATTAGACACTTCCTTTTGTAATATTTCTCTAAGACAGCCAACATTGAAGGAGTGAAGGACACAGGGCAATGAAATAATACCTCCCTCATAAGCACAATGAGAAGAGGGAAATGAATGTTACCTTCTCAAATAATGGAAACATAACTATACGACTATCTAAGACAAACCCAATATAACTGATTCAATCAAATGTTACCTTCAAAAGAATGAAAGCCAGTTCGACTGAAACATGAGAAAAGCAATTAGCTCTTTATGCCTAAGCTGATGTACTTCTTGATCTTTTTACTTAGGGAAACTCAGTGACCATGAAAGTTAACAGCGACATGATTGAGCAGCTGCATGAAGCAGCAGAAAAAGTTTGGGTCCCGGGATTAGCAACGATCATAAAAGAAACCAAGGAACCCTTCCTAAATGTCATGTATGATTGTGAACCTCTGAAGCAAATCTTTTGGGACAATGTAGTTTTGATTGGAGATGCAGCTCATCCTACAACTCCTCACGGTCTGAGAAGCACAAACATGTCAGTATTGGATGCTGCAGTTTTAGGCAAATGCCTTCAGAAGTGGGGGGTGGAAAATCTAAATTTGGCCCTTGAAGATTATCAGTCTATTCGGCTGCCAGTTACTTCAAAGCAAGTATTGCATTCTAGGCGGATGGGTTGCATCAAACAGGGTTTAAACGTTGCGGGTCGCAGACCTTTTGATCCGAGAATGGCAACGCCTCAAGAATGTGATGACCTTCAGCAAAAGAATATGCCTTTCTTCACTGATGTTCCTTCAATATTTGATGTAACAACTTAGAGCGGTTGGATTGTTGAGGAGATATAGCATTTTATGTATGAATAAAGGAACCTTAAACTATGTTTTTGTACCCTACACCTTTCCAGAAAACTGCACATAATGAAAATTTTACTGCGGGTACATTATTACGTGTATGCTGCCCCTTGTGACTCTGAAGCATCGATAAGAAGAAAAAACAAAAAGTAAGAATTACACCAATTGGACCAAACCTGACAAATGTCAAGTGGACCTACCCCATTACCCTCCAAATGATTCTTCTTGGCCCCAAACGGATGGACCAATCATCTCCAAAAATGTCCAATCAATTCCATCCCAGCAAAACTACAAGCACGAGAGGGGATAGAGTACTCCAACTGATGAGATATGAAGGGGTGACAGAATAACAGGAAGCCGAAAGCAGTAGTGGTGGGAGGAAGCATAGCAGGTATATCTTGTGCTCATGCTCTTATCAATGCAGGGTGGGATGTTGTGGTGCTGGAGAAAACTTGTGCACCCCCAAGTGGTAGCCCAACTGGTGCTGGACTTGGCCTTGACCCTTTGGCTCAGCAAATCATTCAGACTTGGCTGAGGCAGCCTGAGCTTCTCCACAACTCCACTTTGCCCCTTAGTATTGATCAAGTATGTTTAATATATAAAAACCCTTATTATTTTATCTTTCAAGGGTTATTTTTGTTTTTTCTCCTATTATTGGTAAACCCTTCATAAGTTTAAAATATGAATGGTTTTGTTGATGTTTTTAGATACTCATTTGGTCTTATTTACTCCTAAGAAATTACGGACAGGCTGTTGTATGGAATGCTTGTGCCAGTGAAAGTTATTTCCACTAATTTATTAGTCTCGGCAAGGACATACTTAGACTGGTGTATGCCAATTGCTAAGACTAGTCCTAATTAAATCCCTTGTGGATTTAATTAAGACTAGTCCTAATTACTCTTTAAGTCCTAATTAAGACTAGTCCTAATTACTCTTTTTAAAGGTGAAATCCTTTGAGGGTGACATAATGGATTTCTGATTCCAAACAAAAGCAAAACATCAAATAGTCATTAAATTTGTTGGGCATTTTGTAATTTAGTGTCTAAAATTACCATTTCTTACTGAACCAATTAGCTAGAAAGTCATTTAGCCATGAAGCTAGCTTTAGAGTCATTTACAATGTCATAGAATCTGAAAGTAATCATGTTTGAGCTCTGGAATTTAGATGACAGCTGATCGCTACAGTTGCATTTGTTCTATTGTCTTGCCTACCCTTCTAGGACGCTTGTTAACAGATGATAGACATTGTTTCAGAATGAAAGCATGCGTCTGCAGGGAACTAAATCATATCATACCGCTGTCCTGTGGACAGCATTGCTAGCAGAAACTTAGAATCCTTTAATTGAAAACTCAACTACCCTTGACTTCTCTATTTCTGTCTTCATAGAACAAAGCAACCTGTGGAGAAAAGAAAATCAGCTGGACTCTGACGAGAGATGAAAACTTAAATTTTCGAGCAGCACACTGGGCTGATCTGTATACTTTTTTACACAATGCATTATCATTTCATGTTGTGTTGTGGGGGCATTTTTTCCTTGCATTTGGCACTTCTGAAGACAAGACTTGTGTCACGGTTAAATGCAAAGTTCTTGAAACGGGTGACACATATGACATAGTCAGTGATTTACTTATTGCTGCTGATGGCTGTCTTTCTAGTGTTCGGAAGAGTTTCCTTCCTGATCTTAAGCTGAGGTCTGTGAAAGGTAGTGGTCGATATCTCTTTAAGTTCTTGCTTTAAATTTCCTGTGTATGACATTTTGTCCTTGTTATCTTATGCATAGATATTCTGGTTACTGTGCATGGAGTGGTGTTCTTGAATTTTCAAATAACAAGCATGCTGAAGCTGTGGTGGATCTCAGGAGGGCATATCCAAACTTGGGGAAATGCCTTTACTTTGAATTGAGTTCAGGAACTCACTGTGGGCTCTACGAACTACCGAACAAACGGATCAATTGGATTTGGTATATCAATCAACCTGAGCCAGAATAATTCTCTTGCCAATATACTGCAATAGACCATGATTCTTTCAGCATAATGTGGTCCTTGGTTTACGCTGAACTTTTTCCTTTATATATACTATATGGTTACTTCCAAATCATTTTTCTGATTGTTCTGTTTGTAAACACTAATTTTTATTTCTCGAATATCCACTGAAAATGTAGGTGTGAAAACCAAGGAATAACTTCTTCATCATTCCCCAACAAGAATTGACCTCAACTCCCGTAGTCAAGTTTGATTACTTTACTTAATCAGGGATTTTCTTTGACATGTTTTTCTGGGACAGCCAACATCAAGGAGTCAAGGATGCGGGGCACTAAGATCTCACAATTTAATCACAATGAGAAGGGGAACATGAATTTTGCCCTCTCTAGAAATGGAACCATACTTCGAGAAGTAACAAAGACAAACACAATGACTGAAATGTTACCTTTCAGTAGAATGAAAATAAGTTTGGCTCTTATGAAGCATGGAGCAAAGCAATTACCTTTCTATGTGGAAATTAATGTACCTTTTTATGTCTGTACTTAGGGAAACTCGGTGACCATGAAAGTAAGCAGTGACATGACTGAAAAGTTGCATGAAGCAGCAGAAAAAGTTTGGATCCCAGAATTAGCTAGGATCATTAAAGAAACAGAGGAGCCCTCCTAAATATCATTTATGATTGTGAACCTCTGATGCAAATCTCTTGGGACAATGTAGTTTTTATTGGAGATGCAGCTCATCCTACAACTCCTCACGGTCTGAGAAGCACAAACATGTCAATACTGGATGCTGCAGTTTTAGGCAAATGCCTTAAGAAGTGGGGGGTTGAAAATCTGATTTCAGCCCTTAGAGAGTATCAGTCTATTCGATTGCCAGTTACTTCCAAGCAAGTCTTGCATTCTAGGCGGTTGGGTTGCATCAAACAGGGTTTAAACGTTTCAGGCCGAAGACAGTTCGATCCAAGATCAGCAAGGCCTGAAGAATTTGATGAGCTTCAACAAAAGAATATGCCTTTCTTCTCTGATGCTCCTTCAATTCTGAATGTTAGTGATGTAAGTATGCAACAACTTAGAAATTCAGATGATTGAGAAGATGAAGCACTTCATGTATGAGGGAATAAGCCTTAGAGCACGTTTTTGTACCTCACACTTTTTTCCCATGAACTGCAGACGATGAAAATTTTACTGCCTGTGGGGTATTATAGTGCTTGGTTTCCAATTTATGTGGATTTTACAATTTCTTAACTCCCAGGTTTATTATCAATATTGACAACATGCATGTTGTCCAATGAGAGCTTCACCACCCGAATACAAATGTTGATCCTTTTCGTAGTAATCTGCATTAATGCATTATCTGCTAGAGAAACTTTAAAGTTCCATAATATCTATTACTCAGTAGAACAATCTGGTTTAGAATCTAGAAAGAGTTACCTAAGGACAATAATCTGGCAAAGAACCTCCTTCAAGGCTTCAAGACCAACAGACAGACTTATTGCTGTTCAGAACATATTACAGAATTGTTCCAGAAAGTTCCACAACCGTCCTATGAAGCCATATTACAAGAATAGACGGTAAGTACATTGGCGTGACTGTTATTTCTACCACAACGAACAAAAAAGCCTTTAAACCAATAGGAAATGCTTAACATTACCATATCATCACCAAATAACACATCAAACTATACAACAGAACAACGAAACAGGGTAATTTTTTATGGTGAATCACCGTCAAATCAGACGGGTGCACTACGTATTCGTATGTATCTGGTAAAGCCACATGGTAGTGGCAAAGTAACGAGAGAGAAGGTTTGAACCCTTAATCTTTCACCCTACAAAAATTGAAGTCTTTTATGGTAGCTAACAACTGAAGTGGCCCTTGGTAAAAACAAAACAGGGCAAATGCTCGGTTAGACGTGTATAATTGGTATTTGAGCACCACCTGGCATAGCCAAAAAATGCAGAGATCCCCTCCAAGCAAGCAAACATCAGGTTTTCCCGGGGCCTGCAATGATCATTTACTCCTTGTATGATTTGTTCTTTGGTATGCCTTGATGGTGCTGCAACTAACTTCTTTTAACTAATAAAAAGAGCTGACCAACCGTAGCTGGATGATATGAAGTGATACCTTTCTTATATGTCACACTAGAGGTACTTGAACTGTGCAAAGCATAGTTTGGGCCCCTTAGAAATTTAGCCGAATGTATAGCATCAAATTATTTTGCCACATGATGAATGAATAGAAATATAGGAGAAAAATTGAGCATCAAAGCAATTAAAATTGACAAATATTATTTGAACTCTCATTTTTGTTAATCATACTTCCGCTATTATTTTTATCATATAGCTTTTGTTTATTGTAGGAATACAATTAACAAAATATGGGGAATAAATAAAATTTCTCTCAAAATTTGTTGTAAAGAGAAATCCCATCTATGAATTAAACCTCCCTATTTATTGTGATTTGAATAAAGATTTTTGAATCACTATTATATGATACCCAAAAAGGGGAGAAAATTAATACACTATAAGTGCATTGATATATTAATAGTAGTATAGTTTTAGTTAAAACTAAATCAAAAGCAGTTGTAAAACTTTTAGTACTTTAATAATGAGAAAAAGTTTAGGAAGCTGCTAAAACATGGCACAATCTTCAACATCAATATAGCTTACTATAAACTTTCATATTTTTCTTTCTTTTGATAGAAGAATCTAGTTCATCTATTTAAATTCCGCCTAAAGGTGACAACATTATCCTGCAGCTCCAGAATATAAATAGTTAGATTAGATAAAAATATGAATTGCTATGTTTCCTGATTTACATATACAAATTAGAATTGAACTATTTTTTATTGCAAAACTATCTTCCTAATCAAAATTGAATTTTCTAACAATTTTTTGTCAAGTCACACTCTAGGCCGAAAGCCTCCATTGTGACTTCCACCACCGACTGCAATCCTTGTATACCAACCCAATTGATACTACAACACTTGAGTACTTAAAAAACAAACAAAAAATAACTTTAGTTTAAATATATACAAAATCCTATTGGATCCTTCAATTAAATTGAATAGGCCATAA